GGTCTCGAGTACCTCTACACCCACCCAGTTCCAAACTCCCTGGTGGTAGAGTCAGTCCACCACCGCAAGCGGAATGGCCAGCCCGCGTCCATGCCAAAGGACAAAGACGCTCGTAGACTTGATATCTTTGGAAAAAAGGTTTATTTGTCAGCGAGTTTCCAGCTCAGAGTGGCCAACCATCAGGCGCTTCTGAGCCGTTACGAGTTTAACCTTTGGGAATCCCTCCCCAAGTTTGAGCCCCTCATTCCTGACAAGGATGCGAAGGAGTTCCGGGCGCTGATCGAGGAGGGTACGACTGCCGCCAAAGCGGCTCTCCAGGCGGCTTCGGACGCAGCAGACAGAGCCGCTCGTTCGATGGCTACCGCGGTCTCCATATGACGGCGTCGTGGCTCTCGCTTTCGGGGCTGTCGTCAGAATCCCAGTCCATAATACAGGACCTGCCGTTTGATGGCAAGGTCCTTTTCGCGGACCAGACAGACACCCATCTGCACGGGATGAAGGACTCCTGCACCACCCCGCAGACGCTAGGCCTGTACGTCCCACCTGCCAAGGACAAGCCCAGGCCTCAACCCTCTGCTCCACAAGCTAGGGGCAGATATGAACCCCCCACCTAAGCAGCAGAGGGATCAAAGGCGCCAGTCCCAACGCCAATCCCGCTCGGCCCCACAGCCTGGGGCCTCGAAGGCCAAATGGCCGGGAAAACGGCATCTTTGACTTGTTGAGGGGGTCACCAGGCCTGTTGCCAGTGTACCCCACACACAGTTAATAGTTACCTTTTCTAAACCGTTTATCGGACTTCCGACTGCAGTGGTCCCCTATAACGTCGGACCAATGGGTCCTCAGCACTATCTCCCAAGGGTACAGGCTGCAGTTTGTTTCAACCCCTCCGGGGCTCCGGAGCATGCCCTCCTCCTCGGTCAGGAAGTAGAGGGAGGGAGCGCTGGAAAGGGTACCACGGGAATACCAGGGCAAGGGCTTTTACTCCAGGTATCTTCTCATCCCCAAGGCTAAGGGCGGGTTTTGGCCCATCCTCAACCTGCGGAATCTCAACCAGTTTCTGGTGCATTGCAAATTCCGCATGGTATCCCTGGCCTCTATTATTCCATCCCTAGACCAGGGGAATTGGTTTACGGTGCTGGACCTCCAGGATGCGTATTTTCACGTCCACATTTTCGAGGGTCACAGGCGTTTCCTCAGTTTCCTGGTGGGTCAGGACCACTTCCAATTTACAGTCCTCCCCTTTGGCCTTTCTACTGCCTCCAGGGTATTTACAAAATGTATGGCGGTGGTGGCAGCCCACCTCAGGAGGAAAGGGCTGCAGATCTTCCCCTAGCTCGACGACTGGCGGCTCAAGGGCCGGTCTCGCGCTCTGGTGCAACAGCAGACGAGCTTCCTGCTAGACACCTGTGGGGCTCTAGGCCTACTTGTAAATGAGGAGAAATCCATGTTAATTCTGATTCACTTCATAACCTTTATAGGGGCGCTGTTAGATTCCCAGATAGCCATGGCCTCCCCCTCACGGGACAGATTCGAGACGCTCAAAGCTTTCATTGCCTTGGTCACGGCCTTTCCGGTAATCACGGTACGGGTGTGCCTCCAAATCCTAGGCCACATGGCAGCTTGCACCTATGTGGTGAGACATGCCAGACTTCGGATGCGGCCCCTTTGGCTCAGGCGGGCCTCCCGCTATTCCCAGGTCAGAGACGGCCTGGACAAGGTGGTCACAGTGCCCCCCAGGTTGGTGGCAGACCTCCAATGGTGGTCCCTCCCGAGCACCATGCTTCAGGGTATTCCCTTCCGATAGTCCCCTCCCTCACTAGATCTAGTGTCGGACGCCTCGGACCTGGGCTGGGGAGCCCACGTGGGGGATTTCAGGACTCAGGGTATGTGGTCACCAGAGGAACTAACCCTGCACATAAATGTCAGGGAGCTCAGGCCCATACGCCTGGTGTGCGTGGCATTTCGCCAGCACATACATGGGAGGGTGGTCAGAGTCCTCATGGACAACACGACCACCATGTATTACGTCAACAAATAGGGGGGCACGCGTTCCCGGGCCTTATGCCTCGAAGCCCAGCTCCTGTGGTAGTTCTGTATAGCTCACAATATGCTCTGGCGGGCTTTTTACCTGCCCGGCAAGAGCAACACGCTCGCGGACCACCTGAGCAGGGTATTCTCCCAACAGCATGAGTGGTCCCTGCACAAGGAGGTGGCCAGGTGGATCTTCCTACAGTGGCGTGCTCCCCAGGTAGACCTGTTCGCCACCGCCCAGAATAGACAGTGTCCTCGATTCTGCTCCAGAGCGGGAGAGGGTGACGGGGCACTATCGGATGCATTCCTGCTCCCATGGTCGGGGCCCCTATTGTACGCCTTCCCGCCCTTCTCCTTAATAGACAGATTCCTACAGAAGGTGGAGTCAGACAGGGCAAGGATTATCCTCATAGCCCTGATTGGGCCCGTCAGCATTGGTACGGGTCCCTGCTGCAACTCTTAGCGGTCCCTCCTTGCAGACTGCCGCTACGTCCGGACCTCCTCTACCAGGAGGAAGGTCGCCGCCTCCTCCATCTCAACCTAGCTACGCTCCATCTGATAGCGTGGCTGCTTCGTGGTTAAATGAGGAGGAGGGGAGGTGTTCTGAGGATGTGAGAAGGGTCCTGCTGGAGAGTAGGAAACCCTCCACGCGGCAAACCTACCTGGCTAAGTGGTATAGGTTCTCTAGGTGGGCGAGGGATAGAGGTTCTTCTCCCTCTTCCGCGTCTATCCAGCTTGTCCTCGATTACCTCCTATCCCTTCGGACCCAAGGCCTGGCGCCCTCCTCCATCAGGGTGCACCTGGCAGCCATTTCGGCTTTCCATCCCCCGGTGCAGGGCCTGTCTGTGTTTTCACATCACATGACGGCCCGGTTTCTGAAAGGGTTAGATCGGGCATTCCCTTACTCCAGTCCCCCGGTCCCGCTCTGGGGGGACGTCCTAAATGGCCTAAACCTGGTACTCTCCCACCTCACAGGGCCTCCTTTTGAGCCGTTAGCCACGTGTTCGTGGTCCCACCTGTCGTGGAAGGTGGGGTTCTTAGTGGCTATCACCTCAGCCCGCCAGGTCTCCGAGCTCAGGGCCCTGACCTCTGAATCGCCATATACGGTCTTTCATAAGGACAAGGTACAGCTCCACCCTCACCCCGCCTTTTTGCTGAAGGTAGTCTCGGCTTTCCACATGGATCAGGATATTTTCCTCCCGATCCTCTGTCCAAAGCCCCATTCCTCCAATGAGGAACGCCACTTGCACATGTTAGACGTGCGCAGAGCGCTGGCCTTTTACGTAGACAGAACCCGGCCATTTAAGAGGTCCCCCCAGCTTTTTATTGCTTCAGCCGAACGCATTAGGGGGTGACCGGTCTCCACCCAGCAGATCTCCTGCTGGATCACTTCGTGCATTCGCACCTGCTACAACCTGGCAGGGGTCCCCCCGCCTCCTATAGTGAAGGCTCATTCGACGAGAGCCCAGGCCTCGTCAGTGGCCTATGTGGCTCATGCCCCTATTCAGGGCATCTGTAGGGCTGCTACGTGGTCCTCTGTCCACACTTTTTCATCGCACTATGCGATCGTCTCCCAAACGAGGGATGACGCCGGGTTTGATAGAGCAGTGCTCCGCCTGGGTAACCCTTAAATCTTTACACTTAAACTCCTACCCGCCTCCATCAGGGATAGCTTGGAGTCACCTATAGTGGAATACACATGAGCAATCGCTCGAAGAAGAAAGGACAGTTACCTGTTCCGTAACTGGCATTCTTCGAGATGTGTTGCTCAGGTGTATTCCACGTCACGCCCTCCTTCCCCTCTGTCGGAGTTGTCTGGCAAGAAGGAATTGAGGGTGGGGTGAGCACGCAGCCCCCTTTATGGCGTGATATACAGGCACCACTCCAGGGGTCGCAGCGGTGCTCCCCCACTACGGATACTGCTAAGGGAAAAACTTCCAGTACCGGTGCACGTGGCGAGCACGCACACCTATAGTGCGCCACATAGCTCCTTCTGAGAAAGCACATTTATTCTTAAGGTAAAAGCATTACAGAGTACATATTAAAAACAATAAAAGAATGTACACACATGCTAATAAGCTTACCAGCAATCACCCCAATACCATGACGGGCTCTGGCAGGTGAACAGTTCTACAAACCTCACCAACAGGTTTTTCTATGGTCACAAGTTCGTAACAGCTGTTAGCTCAGAACAATCACACTCATGAAAAGTTTAGTCGCCCCTTTATACAGCCAGTATCTTTGAACTGAAAATAGATCATTTGTGGACAATGGGTCTCTTCTCGGTTAGTAGCTTCAAAAGACTGGGTTTTTGCATAATCAGAGGAGTTACATTTGCATATACTTGTCCCTAGAGGTTTCTTGGGAAACCCACTTGACTATTTGAAACAATGAACTTTTAAAGTTTTTGAAGCTCATAATGCCTCCCAGGTTTACATTAATCATGCCTCTTCCCCCCAGAGATGTTATATACAACCTCATAATAATATATAAACATTTGCATTTTTAATGTAATGGACACCTAAGATACTTAAACTTAATTCAGTAAGGTTTGTCCAGGATATCGCAGGAAATTGCCCCATCTGTCACAGGTACCATGAACAAAAAGTACTTTGGTCACAACGTTCTAAATAATTTGGTGGGATCGGGGTCTTGGGGGGGATTTTTGTTTTTGTTTTATTTTGTTTTTTATTGACACTGATCTTAATAATTGGTTTGGAGGCTGTGAACTTTTGGCAGAATATAGCACATCTGTTGTATAAAGTCAAATGATGTTGTTTAAATTGCAACCACACCACCCAAGGTCTAAAGTTATATGAATAGAATTCACTCTTTGATAATGTTTTATTTACTGTTTTATTTATTTATTTAATGTATTTATTTGAACTTCAGTAGAACTGAAGTACAGTACTATATTTGTTATTGTCTGATTTTTTTAATCAATTTTTTTCCTACCTCTGTCACTTTAGGAAATTCATACAAGTTTCAAGCTGGTAACAGAATGAATGCAATGCTGTGGTTCAAACATCTGAGTGCTGCTTGCCAAAGCAACAGACAACAGGTGAGAACAATACTGTGAAAACGAATTGAGAGCTGCTGATCGGAATTTGGCATTGGTAACTAGCTCTGAAAGAAAATGGAGTACTAGTAGGTCAGTTTTTATGCAAAACAAGATACTCCTACCAATACGCACAACTTGGAGGTAACATGAAGATTGTGTTCACAAAGATTTAAGCCTTTATAAGGATCAAATGAAGCAACTGGGCAATTTGGAGGGGGAAGGGATATCTTAATACTTGTAACATATTGACAGGGTTTTATGCATAATATACCCTTACATATCTTTATTTTTTTTAAAGCAACATACTAGGCTATTATAAAGTAATAATTCAAAACACCTTACTGGTAGTATCACTATTGTAAGCTGTAGTAGTGTTTAGAATCAGTATTGCAAAATTCTGTGTAATGTCATTTAGGGCTGTCAATTAATCACAGTTAACTCACCCAGTTTAACTAAAAAAAATTAATCACAATTAATTGCAGTTTTAATCGCACTGTTAAACAATAGAATACCAATTGAAATTTATTAAATATTTTGGATGTTTTTCTACATTTTCATATATATTGTATTCTGTGTTGTAATTGAAATCAAAGTGTATACTCAGTCCTACTTCTTGTTCAGCCAATCACTTAGACAAACAAGTTTGTTTACACTTGTGGGAGATAATGCTGCCCTCTTATTTACAATGTCAACAAAAAGTGAGAACAGGAATTTGCACGGCACTTTTGTAGCCAGCATTGCAAGGTATTTGTATCCCAGATATGCTAAACATTTATATGCCCCTTTGTTCTTTGGCCACCATTCCAGAGGACATGCTTCCATGCTGATGACGCTTCTTAAAAAAAAAATGTGTTCATTAAATTTGTGACTGAACTCCTTGGGGAAGAATTGTATGCCCCTGATCTGTTTTACCTGCATTCTACCATATATTTCATGTTATAGCAGTCTCAAATGACGACCCAGCACATGTTGTTCATTTTAAGAACACTTTCACTGCAGATTTGACAAAATGCAAAGAAGGTACCAATGTGAGATTTCTAAAGATAGCTACAGCACTCAATCCAAGGTTTAAGAATCTGAAGTGCCTTCCAAAATCTGAGAGACGAGGTGTGAAGCATGCTTTCCGAAGTCTTAAAAGAGCAACACTCTGATGCGGAAACTACAGAACCACCAAAAAAGAAAATCAACAATCTGCTGATGGTATCTGACTCAGATAATGAAAATGAACATGCATTGGTCTGTACTGCTTTGAATTGTTATTGAGCAGAACCAGTCATCAGCATGGACGCATGTCCTCTGGAATGGTGGTTGAAGCATGAAGGGACATATGAACCTTTAGCACATCTGGCACATAAATACCTTGCGACCCTAGCTACAACACTGCCATGAGAATGCTTGTGCTCACTTTCAGGTGACATTGTAAACGAAACGGGCAGCAGTAGAACTGAGCAGTAGAACTGAGTGGACTTGCAGACTCGCATTGAGTGGACATGCTTACTCTAAAATTTTGTTATAATTGAAACCAATATATTTGAAAATGTAGAAAACATCCAAAAATATTTAAATAAATGGTATTCTATTATTGTTTAGCTGTGTGATTAATCGCACGATTAATCAAGATTACTTTTTTTAATCGCTTGACAGCCCTAGTGTCATTTTTGTTAGGTATTGGCTACCCAATATAACCTTTAATCAAATTTTGTGTTGCTTATATTGCTAAAAAGCATAAAGAAGCACCTGAGTGTGAGCTTGGGTGGCTAGCCCATGCCTCTGCCAGTGCTGCTATTTTTAGTGTGGGAGCTCAAGTTGAGCTAGTGCAAATCTGCCTACCCAAGCTGAGGGGCACACTGATGAGAGCTTAGCTTTGAGCCATAAGCTACATATAATGCAGTGATGTCTGTTATAGACATTCTTATTCAGTGCTACTGGTGCCTAGGAAAAGGTCACAATCCTGACAGGTGTTCAATCTACCTTGTCTTCTTTAGTCACCTGTATAAATATCAGGACGGCCACCTAAAACAGTTACTTAGGAAGTAGGCTTTTCAGGTCCAGTAAACCAAGTGCAGTATTAAAGTTTGGCACTGTCAGAGGTGGGAGGCCTGTCCTAACTTTTTGCTGTGTAAACACACTCATGTTGAGGGGTCAGTAGTGGAAGAGGATGAGTTTGAGATGACTAGTGACCTTGAAACACTTCGAATCTCACCTTTTCCAGATGAATCTATGATCTCTTCGTGAACTGATTTCCCTTCCCGGACTTATTGTGACCCCTTGCAGAGAGCTTCAACCTAGGACTTAGTCTGGTCCCAAGAAAGCTCACAGGGTCTTCATTATTCTGTAGACCAAGTACCTCAGATTTGTGGAGATCCCTTTTAAGCAAGGGTACCATGAAACTGACAAGGAATCTTTGGTTATCCCCAGATTCATTCTTCCGACTCTGAAATAGACAAACTATCCCTCTATATCAGGTCATTGAAAAAGGTTTTGAATATTTTTACTTGTCTGACCTTGGGCTCTCAGATTGACTCTCCAGCTGATGTGAGATCTCACTATGCTGAAGCTTCTAGATACATATCAAAGGATAAGGACATTAAGCAGCTGGATCTCTTGGGGAATAAGATTTATTCCTCAACCACAGTGCAGATGAGGAATGACAGCTCTCTAAAAGTGCTGGCAAAATATGACTTCCTCACATACAACAAGCTGATTGTTCTAGATCTGCTCCTGGAGTATATTAGCATTTCCTCTTCTTTATAGGAGCAGTGTTGTCAGCACTTCCCGTTTTCTAGCCATTAAAGAATGATGAAGAACACTGCTGTGCACTTCTTCCTCTCCATTATTTGGGGAATGCCTTCACAAAGATATGAGATTTGCATATTCTATGAACATGGCAAGACTTGGTCTTATCCTAGTCTCTGTTCAATGGAATTCCATAAACTGGGACCTTCAGCTGCGAAGGCCTTGCATCTGTCTTCAATAGGCTTGTTAACTTTAATAAATGTTAAATTCTCAATTGTGGCCAAACTACATTATGTCATAATTCACCTGTAGATATAGACCAGAGCCAAATCATGTTATAACACATTTTATAAACCATACTGCAATCTAATGTCCGCCTTCTCTGTATATATGTTTCCTATAGTTGTAGTTACTCTAGTGCTGCTTGACTGGTTGTATTTACCCGTTTTTTTTGTAGAGGAGAGAGGTAAACTGAACATTTTAAACTTGCAAGGGGTGGGTTCTGAAAAGATGAAATATGGAAAGCCAATTCTCAAAATAAAAATCAGCTGTTACTTGTGTTTTTGTTTTAGGTTCCTGCCAACTTGATGTCTTTTGAGTAAAAAGCTAATTCAAAACATGAAAGAGAACAATTTGATGAACTGTTTCTCATAATTTGAGCATGACGTCCTGAAGAAAGCGTGCCAGCTATAAATTTATTTCTGAGCCAGAACAGAACCTAAAGACTCAATCTCTAAACGCTGGAGTACTAACAGTTTGGGGAATGGATTCCCTTGAGTGAAAAATGGAGTTGCACCATGAACTGCCATGGACCATGCTTCTTAATATTTTCTGAACTGACCTGTGGAAACCACTGCCTTAAAGAGTGAAAGGAAAACCAACATGCAACACCAAATAGTGTGTGTGAAACTTATGGCGGTGCTGTGCTTGGGTTAAATAGGTTGTAGCTAATTTGCATTTCTTTTAACTTTATACTAATTTGGGGGGGGGGAAATCACCTTTTTAGTATTCTTTAAAAAGGGTATAACCATATTTCTTAAGGGTTGCATCAACAGCTGGGTTTAGACTAAGGACATAACGGTACTTACACATTCTAGGGATGGTGTTTAGACTATACTAGCAGCCTTCAATTGGAGCTTCTCTCATGCTCACTTGATCTGGAGCATCATTAGTTTTCTCAGACCTAGACTATGAGAGCTGTAACAAATGCAACGTTTTTTGTTTTGTTTGTTTGTTTTAAGTACTAAACTTGGTAACCTTAGTACTGTATAGGAACCTTACTTCCTGCCAGTGGCACAAAGGCTGAGTGTTTGTACAGCACACTTTTTCTTGTAAGCAGGATCGTGATACATGCTTGTCTAGTTCCTGGTTGAAGAATAGTCTGTTTTGGGTTTTTTAAGTGGGAGCTGTGAGGTGTCATCAGGTCAGAACTGAGTGTTTCCTTCCCATTGTGTTTCTACACTGGTTACTTTCCTCCATGTGATGGTTCCACTACACAACAAACACTGGATATAGCTCACAGAGATGTTTTACTTCTCTGGAGGGATGTTCCCCTAGGTACAGTTAAAGGGAGGGAAAAGCAGAAGACCCTCTCTCAGGGTAAAATGCTTCAGAGTATCAGTTTTATAAGACCTCTTTTTTACAGTGTTTGAGAGAGACAATCTCAGAGTTTCCATATTTTCATTTTGAAAAAATGGTTTTAATTATCTGTATTGTTCAAGATTTAGGAGCTCGAACTATGTTTGCAATTCCTAGAGAAGTTTAATCTAGGAAAGAAAAATAGGGTGGACTAGATAATCAAAACCTTTTTCCTATATATGAGTAATTCTTTGTCACTAAACGTACTTCCTCAAAAAATTTAAAATCCCAAACTGGAGGACAAATTTGCTGTGTTCTATGCATTAAATTTTCATTCATGCCTTATTTTGGGTTCTTTTAAGTTACTTCATTATAGTCTCTTGTACACAAAGCCCTATTTAACATTCGGAACATTGATCTTTATAAATATGGAAGAAATTCTAATAGTGTCGAGGAAAACTTCTTGAAAAAGTGGTAGATATTCCACTGAGATTGTAATTCAAAAGCAGTAAATAAGCTTACAGTTGCACCCCTAGACTTTCTAAAACTATCCAGTAGTCTGAGGTAATGAGTTCTCTTGATAATCTTAAAAAAAAAAAAAAAAAAAAAAAATTACAGAGGTGGTAATTTGTTTGGTAATGTACACTTCATTTATTAAATCAGGGTAATGGGATAGAGTTTCAGACATTAAAGTTCCCAGAATCAATATCGCATTTTCTTAACAGAAATCATTAGTTTTTGACTGAGGCAGAGGAGGAAGGTTGCTGTCCCTACTGAGAGAACAAACTAGCATAAAGAGAGAACCATTCTTGGGGAGGAGAGAGGTGGAAAGTTGGGGCGTTTCCAAATGTTACTCTGTGAAATCTGTTTTTAGTATAAAGAGGATATAGTAGATGCACACTTCTGTGTCACACTTACACAATTTGGTATCACTTTGTATATCTTTTTCTGTGGAGAGTGAATAATCAGTTCTGATCCTGAAGTAGTATATCCTGAAAGGAGGTTGCTCGTGACGAATCACTTTTCAGTTCAAACATCACTTAACCCATGTTGGGTGTATAGCAGAGACAACATCTTCATAGCCAACAGTATTACTGTAATAGATTTTGCACAGCTTTAGTTTTTGTTTTGCATTTTTAAATTACTTAGTGTGTGTTTCTTCTCAAAAGTGTTTTTAACAAAATGTGTGTACTTTTTTTAAGCATTGTGTATGGTAACCCTGTGGATTTTGAATTTTTTTTAATAAGCTAATTTAGATGCATTGCAGGTTAACTATATCTATTCTTATGTTAGTGAGAGGAAACATGAAACTGGGAGCCACAGCCTGACATCACACAGCTTTGCTAAAGACAGAGTCGGGTCAGAAGGTGTTGTTTTTGTTCTTTGAATTTATCCAGATGTCTTTTCTTCTGTTTTTATGGTATATAGAGTAAGATGGGGAAAGCAGTGCTGAGCCCTTGTCAATAGTCATCATTAGATGAACTGTTGCCTGTAGCTGCTCTCTGCCTATTTAGACATCATATATCATTTTGATCTTTATTTTTCTAGCCTCAAATATCTCATTTTTCGTGGGAGAACTGTTGGGAAGCCTCTTAAAATGTTTAGCAAGAATAATAAGAGAAACAATGATTAATGAAAAAAAATTTAGATACTTAGTACCAGAAGTTCAATATCTAGTTCTGTTTTATCCCGTATTAGTGTTTGTGACAATCTGAAGTATTACTGGAATTAAGACTTTACATCTTTTGAATTGGAAGATTATTAGGGAAAAATGATTTTTTTTTCTCTCCTGAGAGGAAACCTGTCACAGAAAGCTTAAATTGAATGACAACTCAAATCAACTATGAAGAGCACAGTAATCCACCTCTCTATAAAAAGTAATAGTTAAACAAAACGTTTGAAGTAGTAATGGGAAAACAATACAGCAGCCAGATATAGATAGGTAAGGATGCACTATCCAGAATGTCAGCCAGTTGATTGTGTTTGTCATTGGTTTATCTTGCAATGTTTTTCTTTAGTTTTTACTTTCAGTAGCTGTTGAAATTTTGCAGCTAACGTTCATAACTTTATTTTGTTGTATTTATATCTTTAGTTGAAAGAGGTCTCTTGAGATGTCTTGTAGAACAAAAGATCCATTATTACAGGAATGTGGACAAAAATAGTTCAGAGTAGATCTTCCTGGCTGGGTTATATGTAAATCATCTGCTGACTGGTATACTACAAAGCCACTTTTTTCACAGTTCACTTCCTACAAGATTTTTAGTTTAAACCCCAACAGAGAGAATCCACCCAGTTTAGAGAATTATTTGTGGTGATACTAAATGTAGTGCACTTCTAATACATCTCTGGCTATCGTAAATTGAAGTACTAAATGCTAACTTAATGTTAGCTTTCTAACTTAATGTTATTTCTTTATAACTTCTGCTACATTTAATCAAATGCCTTCCATTTCAGTGTTCTTAAAGAGCTAATGTTAGTCACAATTGATTTTACAAAATGGGATCTATACAATTTGAGTTAATCTAAGCATGTGCTTCATTTTACTAACCATTTCTTGTGGAAAATGCTGTTGAAACATTGCCCAAGTTACTCTGATTCAATGTGCATTTGAGTTAAGTATGTACCACCTGGTTTTAATACCCAACTTTTAACCTCTCCTACAAGGAACTTTTCCAAGAGTCTAACAAGTAGATACCACTTCTGTAAGTTCTGAAAAGGAAAAAGCTCACTATGCTGAAAATCGTGGCAGGGCGATCTTCACTGCCTCAATTCTACACTCTCTCATGTGGCCCTTTTGGGGAATTGACTATTTGTTAACTTTCCCTCTCAGAACTCAGATGTGTTATAGAAGAATTTGCAGCAACATTGTTGCTGCTAGCAGAACATTTACTACTGAAAATGAAAACATAAGAAACAAACTATCAAGGAAACACAAAAGAATGCAGCACCGTTGCACCAGTTTATTTTTGTTGATTGACGTTAACTATGTAGTTTAATGCTAGTTTCCTTGCCACATTTTAAGTGCGCTTATTTGCAATTAAATTTTTAGAAGAACATACTCTTCCACTGTTAATGAGAAATGAAGGCAGGTTGTCAACTGGAAGATGCTTTCCCTTCCAACAGAAGTAAATGTAGCTTTGTGTTGCTAAGGCACTGTGGGCCTTTTGGTAAAAGGAAAATTGGTTGGTGATGTTTTTCTGGCTCCTGCAGTGGCATTTTTCTTCATTCTCCTTCTCTGGTATTTTCATTCACAAGCATTAGAAGTCCTAATCTTTTCACAGCCATTTTAGTGTACTGCCTGCTCTAAGCTTCAAAACACTAGACCTGGTAGTAAATCACACCAATGAGTTGTTTATTCTTGCTACGAGGTCAACTTTTAAAAGCGTTGTTATTTAAATACTGACCCTTTCTTTTTTTCCTTTGCCTTTCCCTAAAAATGGCTTGTGTCTAAAGTAAATTTGGTGTTTGGGAGAGTTGTTATTGAAGGAATCTGTATAAATGAATGCTGAACTTCTTCAGTGGGTACAACTGAACTTCTTTTTGGTCATCATCCAAACTTTTGTGGGGAGGCAGACACTTGGATCTGAGAGAGACTGGTCAGTGCCTTATTGTCAGTTTGAAGTCCAGTTCTGTTATTCTAGAGCTGAAAATACAATAGTAACCATTGGACCGAATTACTTTCCCTGATTTCTGTATTGTGTACCCTCTTTTCCAACATTTTTACTTTTCTAACAGAGGAATTAGTCAATTTTGGTCTGTGTAAGATAGCTATGATTTAAATTACTAAACTGTTTTTCTAGCTTTGGTAATTTTTTTAGCAGAAGCAGCCATTGACAGATTTGTCTGCAGCTTTTATCAGAACTGTCTAAACCATCTTGTAACAATTTTTCTTTAAAATATGAAACATTTGGAATGTCAAGCCTAAGAGGGGGAAAAAAAGCAACAAGAATAAATAAGGATCAGAGGGCATTCCGAGTAATTTCTAGTGTTTGTGAACTTTAGTTCCCCTAGCTAAAAATGAGGATTCTCTCTTCCTTTTTATTCCTTTGAAACACTCTACTGTACAAATGTGAAAGGACTATACCTAGCAACCTTTTTGTTAATTTAGAATAAATATCAAGGAGAAACTTAAAAAAAAACTAGGACAAACTGTATATTGTAACTTTTCTTGAAGTACTTTAAGCATATTTGTGCAGAGGTTGTTTGTTCTATTTCTGGTGTCATACCATCTAGTGAAAACTAAGTTTGCCTACAAGAGATTTGTGAGCTTTGAAGCATTAAGCTTTGAAGCACATAGCTTTGGATGGAGAAATTGATTAATAAGCTTTCACAGGTTGAGTTTTTTTTAAGCAATGAAAGCCACATACAATAGAATATTCGTTTTCCTCTAAGACGTTGTGATAGAAAACAGAGCATTTCCTCTGCGGTGTTTTTTACTTCAGATGTTTGAAAGGAAAAGCATAACCTAGCACAGAAATAATCAACCTTAAAGGGTTCTTCAGTGACAATTGAAAGGATTAGCCCAAGGTGAAGAAAGCAGAGTTTTGAGTCTAGCCATGCATGTTACAGAACAGAGTTGAGGATTTTTCTCAAGGACTATTACTATAAAAAAGTGCCACAATGAGATGGAGGCTTTTGCAGACCAGACCATGGGAGCTAATTGCTGGAGCTTTTCCTCAAACAGCCAGGAGTAACATAAACATTCAGTTTCTTCTGTACACTTGATTAGTATCAAATTTACCTTAGTGGAAGAGGGATGTGGCCTCCAATTCCTCAGCAAAGCTCTTGCCATTCCAGAACTGCTCCCAAATATGGTCCAAAAGTAGTAAAAGTTGACTAATTAAATAGGGAAAGAAAGGATCTTTACAGTTCACCTGTTTACAGAGCCCTTGACTCCTTGCATACAGATAAATACACCCATTCAAGCCCTACTTTAGTAGTGCAGAGAATGGGGAAATCATACAATCTATAATAATCCAGGAAGAAAAAACAGATTGTTTATATGATAAACACAAGCCATTTTTAATGTTATTCTTCCATGTTGACTTGAGATGCTATAGTGATAGTAATTGCACTATGACCTCTATGAGTGATGTGCAGTTAGACTGTCCTCTAGCCTTTTTTCTTCTATTTTTTTAAATACTTTAGTGTGGGCGTGTGTGAAATTGTGTGTTTGCATAAGCTAGTTTAAAATTACTTTAAGTATGGATTTCAGAAATCTTTCCTACTGAAATAAATGATTTAAAATGTGGATTTGTGTGAACTATTAGTTTATTTTTCATAATCATATTGATACCGCAACCACTCTCGAGCACAGAATTTGGTTCTTTCTGAATACATTGCCTGGGATCAGCTGGAATTTGTGTATTAAAAGCTCTTTTCAATGGACCTGTGAAGAACAGCATGAAAATAATATACCACTACAAATAAACACGAAAAAGAAATCAGTAAACTAACAAGGAAAGACAGTTAATGGAAAAGAGCTTTTATTTTATTAATTTTTACAGCTCCTTCTATTAGCTGCCAGTGAGCAGATGCTTTCCCACCATGGTATTTCCATACATGTGCTGTCTGTTTTTATCAGATTTTCCTCTTGATTTCTCCATCCTCCTCATCCTCCTTTGCCTATACACTTTTCCTTTAACGATGAGATAAATTAAATTCATTGCAAACACAGCCATTAGTTAACATGCTTTATTCCTATTACTTTATTAAGAAACTGCAAAAAGGTAAAAACTGAGCATGTGGAGAGAATGTTGGTAATGTGCAAAGTACTTTTTTATTAGCCCTTGGCATGGCATGTCAGCGTTCTGTGCCTTTTCACTGTGTTACATCACATTGGAACAGGACCTATGTAGCTCTTGGTGTGAAATGATGTGGATTATTGCTTGCCAGGTTATGAACCTAGGGCCCCTTCTACCCTGTTTCCTTGATGGAACTATTTGCTTCTAGACTGGATGCATTAAAAAATAAAAAGGGCAGAGCAGACTTTACTCTTCATTATTTCCAAATTATGGAACTTTTAAGACTGTTGTTAAGTGTTCAGCACTGTGAAAAATTATATGGAATTAATCTGTCATCGGTTTTATTTCCTAACTCATTTTCCAAATCTTTTTGTTTCTCATAAACTGCTCACTAGAGCTCAGCACAACAGTTTTGGTGTGCACATTTTCTGATGAGGACTGATTCCATCCTTGCAGATACAGTCTGCAGTCTGACACATGGCTATTACTGGAAGTTGAATGATGCTGACTAGAGCAGTATTCTTGGCTCAAGTTTTTGGAAAAGTCTTTTCTCACCTGTCTAATCACCTCTCTCCACACAAGAGCCTTAATTGTTCTTGAAGTAGTGTCCCTATGGGTGCTTGACTGTAGCTGTGCTTGTGTCCCTGTGCTGCTGATTGGAGAGCTTCGGTAGCAGTGTCCGTTAGTCCCACACATGCACTGTCTCTCCTCATGCTGCCCCACGTGGCTAGTCAGCACATGCTTGCTTAAACCCCCTCAGTTCCTTCTCAGTTGCCCCTGGCTAGAGATGGAGCTCCTTGCAATCCATTAAGATCATTGCTCTATTCGCAGTTAGATAGTTAATTAGCCTTGTAGCATAGTGTAGTTGTAGTTTCTTCTTTACCCACTTTTTTCTGTCTCTTAAAAAAAAATTGGGGGAGGAAAAACCTTTATTTTTCCCGCTTTTCTTTCACTGGGGACTCTTCCCCCACAATGGGGTATGCTGGGCTTCAAGAAATGCCTCACTTTCAAGGAGGCAATCCCGATTGCAGACAAGCACTCCCAGTGTATTCGTTGCCTCAGGGAAGACCACCTCTAACAAAAGTGTGGTCTCTGCCAGCAACTTCAGCCACGATCTCGTAAGGACAGAGAGCTCTGACAGAAGATCATCTTCATGGAAGCGGCTCTCAGGCCCCCTCAGGACCTGCGCCAGGAGTCACCTGGCAGACATGAGCCACAGCCCTCTACATCTAAAGGTTGTAGGTTGAGGAAATAAACTGCTGACCCCTCTCACAAGTCATCTAAGAGAGTGGGAAGTCTCCATAGTGAGCCCAGAGATGGCCATAAGCGATCTCCATCTTGCTCGGTATCTTTGGCACCGAGACCATCTCAGTCTAGCACCCATGGCTAACGGACACCATCAGCAGCCAGTACCACTGAGCATGGGGACTGAGTCGTCAGCACTGGGGGACAGGAATAAGAACTCCAATAAAAAGATGTTCCTGATACATGAGTCTATATTGGTACCACCATTGATGCCTCGCCAAGCACCAGAGTGACCAGTACGGACAAGATCCCTGACACATACACACACACCCCTCAGCACTATCATTGAGACCATTGGTACCAGCGGAATCCCATCACTCCAGGAACTTCCGCATGCCAGATGTCCTGGGGTCCCTCCCCCGTGGTACCAGGAATGCCTCACTGAGCCTCTGCCTAGCACGGGAATCTTCTCCACTACCATGCCACATTTCCCCACTCTCTAGTTCAGACTGCAAACCAACGGACGTGGTGTCACAGTACTCCTTTCGGGCCCCATATAATCAGGGTCGCTGAGAGCGGGTTTGGGCCCCGGTGAAAAAAAAATTTCGGGCCCCCCAGTAAGGGCGAACTGGCTAAACAGGGCCGACGAGGGGGGGGGAAGCGGGGCCCCGGTAAGGCGATGAGGGGGTGGGGGGGAAGCCGGGCACCCTTCCGGACTGCCAGGCCCCAGTAATTTGTACCGGCTTCCCCCACCCTCTTGTCAGCCCTGCATATGATGCTCAGTACTGACAGAGCCCAAAGGTATCCACAGATGGCCCCACCACTGCCATCCTGGTATGGCCACCCATGGGCACCACTGCCAGGCTCTGTGCCACCACCACTTCAATGGCCCTATTTAGGAGCCTTAGGTGGCATACCACCAGCATGCTCCTTGGGCTTCCAGCCTCGCCCGAGAACCCTCAGGACACAGCCCCTCGGACACAGCATCAGAGCTTTGGAGGCTCCACAAGACATCATACAGGCACAGGAGATCGGTGCCAAGGAAGAAGTGACACTGAGGGCCATATCCTCCTGCTCCCCGGATAAAGTCATCATGCCTTCCCCATCAACTCTGGCAGATGACTTTTGTCTCTTCCAGGAGTTGGCAAAGAGAGTTGCAGATATTCTCCAAATACCACAGGAAGAAGTCAAGGACACACCATCAACTCCTTGACATTCTCCATTCTTCCTCCTCAAAGATCGCCCTCCCTATTAATTAAGTCATCTTAGACCCAGCAAGAACTGTATGGCAAACTCCAGCATCGGTAGCACCCTTACCTGCGAGTGGGCAGACAAAAAATACTATGTCCCCGCCAAGGAATCTAAGTTTCTCTTCTCCCACCCACCACCCAACTCCATTGTGCTGGGTGCCGTCAATTCCTGTGGCCGACAACACTAATCAAGGGCCACTCCCTATGATAGGGACTGGAAGCACCTGGACCTTTTCGGAAGGAAGGCGTATTGCTTAGCCATGTTCAAATCTGTATCGCCAACTATCAGGCCCTCACGGAAAAATATTACTATATAAACTATTCAAAATTGAATGACTTTATTGAATGGATGCTGGAGTCACATTGTGACCAATTTAAGGAGGGCCAGTAGTGGCAAAGACATTGCTGTAGTCTGCCCTCGATACAGCGGCTAGGTCTCCCTCCACAGCAGTGGTGATACAACAGGACTCTTGGCTCCATCTGTAAGGCTTACTGATGGAGGTACAGTCTACGGTTGAAGACCTCCCTTTTGGAGATGTGGCAAAACCTCCCTTCACACTCTGAAGGACTCTAGGGTCCACTCTCTGGTTGCTGGGCATCTACATGCCAGGACAAAAAAGCTGGTTCAGTCCCCAATCCCAGCAAAGACCATGCATATCCCAATATCTGGCTAAATGCCACTATGAGCCTCATAGAGAGAGGCAAATTTCCCAAGCACAAACTATCTGGCCTGCAATCTTCTTCAGCCCAGCCCTCTGTGTCCAGACAAGTTCTGACATGCAGATCGAGGTGCCATTAGACTACTCTCCCCCAACTGATACAGCCGACCATTGCTCTACACCCAATTGGCCACCGATTGGCAGCGTTCTGCAGTGCCTGAGAATGAATAACATCAGACTGGTGGGTCCTAGAAATCGTTCGAACTGAGTACTCCATCCATTTTATCTCCCTACCCCCTCCAAAACACCCTTCCCCATCCCTCTTCAGGAACCCTTCTCATGAGAATTCACTGTGACAAGCGATAAATCATCTTCTCCAGTTAGGAGTCATAGAAACGGTACCTCAACATCTATCAGGCAAAGGGTTCTTCTCTCGTTACTTCCTAATAGCCAAAAGGAAGGAAGGTTGGAGACCCATACTAGACCTCAGAACTCTCAACAAGTTTAAGGCTCTAAAGTTCAAGATGGTCACCTTATCCAGCGTTGGAGCAGGGAGACTGGTTTTCGGCCCTCAATTTTCAGGACGCCTATTTTCGTATCTCAATCCTACTGACTCTCAGACAATTTCTCAGATTCACTCTGGGATAGGACCACTACCAATACACAGTGCTCCCCTTCATACTATCATCAGCCCTGAGAGTATTTTCCCAGGTTCTCTGTGATGGTTGCTCTCTTGTACTCCCCAGGGATCATGATTTACCTGTACTTGGACAATTGTCTTCTCAGAGCCAGATCTCTCCAAGAGATCTTGGGAACTGGGCCTACATATCAATGCCCAGAAGTCAATCCTCGTTCCAGTGAAACACCTGGCATTCATAGGTGCTGACGGTGACTCATTATAGGCCAGAGCTCTCTCTATTTTTTCCAGAGGTTATGCTCAGGCTGTATCCAAAATTCATTCCTAAGGTAACCTCCCCATTCCATATGAATCAATTGATTCACCTTCCAATCTTTTTTACCCCAAGCTTCACCAACACAACAGGGAGGCTATATTACAAACCCTAGATATCAGGATAGTCCAGGCCTTCTATCTGGACAGGACAAAGGTCTTCAGGAAGTCTCCTAGGCTTTTCCTCTCTGTTTAGGAAAGATCCAAGGGCTCAGCAATATTAGCCCAAAGGCACTCCAAGTGGGTCTCAAATTGCGTCAGGGTTCGCAACATGACCCCTCCAGGCTCTGTTCATACACACTCCACAAGTTCGATCTCTTCATCTGTCGCCTTCTTCAAGAACGTCCCTATCTCAGAGATCTGTAGAGCAGCAACATGAGCGTCAGTCCACACTTTTGCAGAAC